TCAACGTCAGGGTCAGCCCGGCTCCCTGACGCATCATCCGAGGCTTTATTTTTGTTATTCTCCAATATTTAGATTTATGGTTTATAGGATAAGCTCCTAAGGGCAGGTCTCCGATACCCAGATATCAGCCGCCCCTAAAATGGGAAACAGACGCTGTCGAGGTGTCGCTCCTGACATGGAGAACAGTCACACCTCTCACCATTAGCCCTCCTGTAAGCAGTGAGTTGCTTTTGATGCCTTGTTGGTCCGCGGGAGGAAATAAATTTCCTCCTACCTTCCATATCTGGAAGGCCTTCCTCGATCCGCCACCTGAGGACGCGCCCGATGGGGGTTGCAAGTTCCCCTCACGGGTTATTATTATTATTATTATTATTATTATTATTATTATTATTATTATTATTATTATTATTATTATTATTATTATTATTATTATTATTATTATTATTATTATTATTATTATTATTATTATTATTATTATTATTATTATTATTATTATTATTATTATTATTATTATTATTATTATTATTATTATTATTATTATTATTATTATTATTATTATTATTATTATTATTATTATTATTATTATTATTATTATTATTATTATTATTATTATTATTATTATTATTATTATTATTATTATTATTATTATTATTATTATTATTATTATTATTATTATTATTATTATTATTATTATTATTATTATTATTATTATTATTATTATTATTATTATTATTATTATTATTATTATTATTATTATTATTATTATTATTATTATTATTATTATTATTATTATTATTATTTGTGTATAACTATTTTTGGTTGATAAATAAAATGCTTTAATTGGTCTTTATTTTATTTCATAAAGGAAGGTATGTAGTCAGAAATATGTATAATATTCTTGCTTCACTTATAAAACGGGTTCTTCACAATATTTTTCTATTTTCTTTTCTCCTTCATCAGTCAAGCTTTATAGTAGGTATATTTACTCAAAATGTATACAAATTGTTTAAAGTACAAAATTAATAATCCTATAAAATTGAGTAAATAATATACAATATGAGAAGCCTGTGCATGGTCTATGTAGTATCACAATATTGTGAAAAACTATTCTTACATTGAAAGTTAAAAATATACGCTATAAAACAATATTTTTAATATCATGTCCATCCGCTTTCATCTAGCATTTTATAGTAATTAACAATATATAACCCCTTCCATACGGTACGGCACTGCTAAGTTCTCCGTTTGTATACCTTTCCTCTCTCCCCGTCTAGATAATCATTAAACCACATACTTTGATTTTCTTTTAATCAAAGTATGTGCATTAAACCCATTACTTCCACAGGTAAGGCGTATCTATGCTAATACATGATCAAATGCTATATCTAAACTGTCAGTTCCCACTTGTCAACATTTTGACAGGTCCTTGGAATGCCTAATTGTTCAACAGAAAGAATGTCTGCATGCTTGCATGTCTGGAGGTGCCTAGAAAAACTAAATGTGCTAGGCGAGTTGTTACTCTCACTTGGTTAACAATGCAAAAAAGTTTAAAAACCTTTTGATTACACAAAGTAATTACGTTTAAAAGTTTTCAAAAATTAGGTTGTTTATTACTCAAGAACTGACGAAATATTAATACTAATTTTAATATTAAGACGATATGTACTTCAATTTAATCAAAATAGATATATAAATCGCCGGATTGTAGCTGGAAATTGAAAAGAGTTTTTAGAAAGAGAAATGAATGTAAGGCACTATTTTAAAAATATGTTTGGTTTCGATTGTTTATATTACCATGATACGATTTGAGTGATGTGTGAATGTATTTTAATTATTAAAACTCGTTGTTTTTCGACATTTGTTTTCTTGAATATTCTTACATGAAATAATAAAAGTAGTACTTTTTAAATTATTTGGAATGCTATGCCAAAAATAATGTATTTTTTTTATTTTTTCGTAGTCTACGAATTTTTATAAATATATTGGACGATCGATTGCCGTACGTTACCATCGATAATGTTATCGATTGTCCGATATCTTATCATGTACTTAAAAAATTGGCAACCTATAGAAAGTAAGAGTAATATCTTTTAAGAAAATTAAGGTTACATAAAATAGCTATTTGTGTATTAAAAGCAGAAAGTAGCACTTTGGCAGTTGAAACAGAAAGTTGCCGCGCGATGCAAATTATTTTATTTTATTAGAAATGGCTCACCTTCTTTCGTTATAATATTGTAAGTTTATTTGACATAGGTTCAATCAGAAAATATCAAAATAAGATCCTGTGTATCAAAGTTTAATTTATTTCGCCATAAATTAAACAGTTGAAAATATAATGATTCTGGTCGGCGAACTTGAATACTGCAACTCGGCGAAAATATCTAGTTCGTTGTTTAATTAATTAGCAAAGTTTCGTTATCTTATTTATAATATTGTTAAATTTTGCATATAATAATAATAATAATAATAATAATAATAATAATAATAATAATAATAATAATAATAATAATAATAATAATAATAATAATAATAATAATAATAATAATAATAATAATAATAATAATAATAATAATAATAATAATAATAATAATAATAATAATAATAATAATAATATTAATAATAATAATAATAATAATATTAATAATAATAATAATAATAATAATAATAATAATAATAATAATAATAATAATAATAATAATAATAATAATAATAATAATAATAATAGTTAATATTAAATGTTAATTTTTTTTGAAAATAAATGCTCTTTAACACCAAGTTTTGTCTTTCCAACATCCTTATAATTTATAATAAAACTATTAAAAATAGTCTTCATTTTTTAATACAAATTATTCATTGAGCCTACCCCAGGGGCTGGTAACTCAAATGGAAAAACATGAGGACGGTAATTTAGTACCACTCCAATTAACGGGATGGCGCTCGTATCGAAATGTCATGTCAGTTGTCAGCTTGTCAACAAAACTTCATACTTGGAAAAATTAAAATGGCTGTCGCATTTGAAGGTGTATTGAATTTTGATTCATCTAGATTTATTTTTCAACACCTTCCAATTTTAAGCATGTTTTCAAGAGATGGGAACATGGATTTCATCAACGAACAATGAAGCACTCCCAGATATTGGTAGTGATGCAATTTATACCACGTATTTAATATGCGGTCGTCATATTAAGGATAAACATAGAATTTGTAATAAGTGTCTTAAGAAAAATGCATCTTGTACTGGCATATCAATGGTAAGTAATATTAAAAACTTTTTTTTGATTCAGTGTTAAAATAAATGGTTTGTTATTTAAATTTCTTTCTGTTTTTAGTTTTTAAATGATCATTGTTATAAAGAAAATGTTGACCCTTCAAAATACCCTGTAGATCGATGAAATATTTGAGCCTTAGCCATCAATATCAAAATTTGATTCAATGCCATTGACATCAAACAAGAAAACACCCCAAAATCTTCAAAGGTCCAAACGTGTGTAAGTTTAATTTAAGCTCGAAAGTTAAATTCATTTATCACAGTGCTCAGATGATGAATAAGAATTTGATAACTACAGGTGCTGTACAAATAAATCAATAAAACAATATCGGATGAAGAAATGTTCCTTAACTAGTCGACTCAATAAGCATATGGCAAATTTTATCCACCCTCAAATTCGCCTTGATTGTAAGACACCAAAAGGATGATGCTTCAACTTAAGTTTTTTCAAACTTATTGCCACTCCAAGTTGCAAAACTTTTATATTGGTCTTGAGCACTCAAATATGTCGAGTTTGTTACAGAAAACATTTTTGATAGGTTTGTTTTATAAATATTTAATTATTTAAATGGTATAAATGCATATTTGTTTGAGTACCTATTTCCATGTTTAAATAGACAAATTATATGATGCGGCGTTAATTTACTGTAATAAAAAAAAAAAAATAAAATAAATTGCATTTTATTTCAAGTTTGAAATTAATGCAAAAATATAATGAAGAAAATCAAACAAAAAAAAAATAAATTGGCAAAATATTTGACTAGTTTCAAATCACAAAACAGTCAATATGGTCGTTTTATGATTTGAAACTAGTCAAATATTTTGCCAATTTATTTTTTTTGTTTGATTTTCTTCATTATATTTTTGCGCGACTAGCAGAAAGTTAAATTTCAAAAAGCCCGCGCTAAGCGGCCATATTGAATTTTAGTACCACTCCAATTTGATAGATGGCAGCACATCGACTCAGAATATTACCATTGAGTTTCCCATCTATTCACATTAGTAATCTATGGCCTACCCTTTGAAAAAAAAAATGTTTAACATATATCAGTAATTATTTATAATTAAAATCATTTAATTATTTACGGAAAATACTGTTGGATGATTTAAAATATTAGGAAGTCAATTAAAATATTTATTTAGGCTACAGTCCCTGTTAAAATAACTACAAGCTCTATTTTATCTATAAATAAAATTAGGCGCACAAGTTACTTTCCGCTTACGCCAATAATGTCAAATTAGGACAACTTGCAGAAAACATCAACTTTGCAGTTAATTTTCATCGCAAAAGCCTATTTTCGATAGTAATCGTAGAAAATAGTAGTTTGTGCAGCAAGACTGGATATGGACAATCCATTTGAGTTGTACAGTTTATTTTTTCTACGACCCACTAACAAAAATCTACAAGTTCTCACTTCCACCGCCACTTATAGGATTTTAGTTTTAATACACGTAATTAAATTGGTTCATATAGTTTGATTGAAATTTAATTCTTTTTTTCAAAATGTGGACCAATTAAAAATATAAATGGTTTTATTTAACGATTCTGCATAAAAATAACTCATTTTATTGTATATTTATTCTCAATAACTAGTAGACAAAAATTACTACACAATATTTTTATATTGACTATGGTTTTTTTGTTTTTCCGAAGTTAAATTGATTTTAATAAGAAAAACGTTCAAAAATATTAATTTTCCAATAAACAAGAAGAAAAATGCTTGGTACTCACCAGAAGCGTTGTTATTGAGGTAATCTTCCTCAGCATAGTCGTTATAGTCAATACGATCGTCATCATCGTCGGAATGGTACTTTCTGTGGAAGAGTAGTCGTTCGGCTCGAGAAACAGGAGGCAAAGGGGTATACAAGATTAGCATGAAGCAGAAAGTAATGGAGAGTTTCATCTCCAGAGGCTTGAACTATTTGCCAAGTCGGAGTCGACATGAGCTAGCATTGTATTTCTGTAATAAAAATAGTTTTGGTAATTACTTGATATAACTCGACACTCTCATAGAATCAGATTGTAACATCGGCAAAGCTAATGATATCATCTTCATATTTAATCAGAAAAATAGTATTTAAATATATTTTTAAAAGAACTGGCCCCAAAACCGTTCCTTTAGGTACACCACATATAATAACTTGTTCATTGCTAAAGGAGTCCTGTATTTTAACTTATTGAGTTATATTTGAAAGCTATTGTGTTGTACCTGTCTTCAAATGTCTTTAATAGTATATAGTAATCGACGGTGTCAAAGTCTTTTGCTAAGTTTAAAAATATACCTACACATGACCTTTTACTTTCTACTGCTTTATATATTTTTTGGGTAAGTTTTAGATTGATATATTGATTGTACTTCGTCTTCTGAAAACCAAATTGACATACGGATATTATTTTTTCCTTCTTTAAAAAAGCGGTTAATCAGTTTAATAATATTTTTTTCCTACGACCACTTAGGAAAGTGACACATATCACACTATATAGACCTATGGAAAGTGCCCTATATCACACGCGTATGAATAAGAATTTACTTTCCACCCAAGTGAGAATATGCTACTTTCCGCAGTAGCTGTCAGAAAATGTCAAACACATAATTTCTATTTTGATCTATGTAATGTCCATATTAATACTAAAATCGATATGATTGTTAAATTATTGTAAATTAGATCCTAGATATTTATCTTTAATAATTATTTTTAAAATAATTTTAAAATAACTAAGATATATTTGCTTTTTATTCTGGTTAAACACATAAGCGATTAGATCAATCAATTACCGTAAGGCCTGTTAGCTCAGTTGGTTAGAGCATCAACTTTGCAATTTGAGACCGTCCAACGACCGCGATCAAATCCTGGCTGTGCCAGAATTTTTTTTTTATTTTTTTTTATTTTTTTTTATTTGTTTAGAAATTATGAAAATTTAATAAATACGATTATTGTTGATTATTTTTTTAAATACATTTTAATTATTATAATAATCTGGTTTTACATTTTTTGATGAAATTATTTTGTGGTCGTAGGAAAAATATTGTACATCACTTGTGTGAAAAGTGATTTTCCACACTCGTAATGTAATATACTATTTCGAGAATTTTACATCATTAAATTTTTCCAAAATATTACGATTATGCTTTACCAAAACATATCTATAGGTATAGAGAGCATCATTACGTTATTTGTTGACCCGAACTGAATTTTTTTTCCTATTAATAGTAGTTTGTGCAACAAGAGTGAATATGATGGCCATATCGCACGAAGACGAAATTTAGACACGACGCCATAGGCGAAGTACTCAAGAGTCTAAGTGCGATAAGGACAATCCACTCGAGTTGTACAGTATATTTTTTCAACGACCCACTAACGGAAATCTACAAATTAAAAAAATATTTTAGGTTATTAAGACATAATAACTAATTTTAAAATAATATATGAATTTTGCTGATTTTTAAAATAAAAATAATAAAAAAAAAAAAAAAAAATTAGTCGCCAGCCGAGAATCGATCCCCAGCTTTTCAAGTGGAAATCAAGCACTCTGTCCATGTCTCTACGTCCACTTTTACGATTTTGGTTTTAATACTCGTAATTAAAATAGTTTCATGTAGTTTGATTAAATTTTAATTCTTTTTTTTTTCAGAATATGGTTCAAATAAAAATAGAAATGCTATTATTTACGATTATTTATCGATTCTACACAAAAATAACTTATTTTAATGTATATGTAATCTTAATAATTAAAAAATATACTGATAATTAGTTTGACAGGATTGTCACTTATTTAAAAATTTAAAAATAATAGTTTTTGTTTTGTAGTCTGTACGTAGATGTGGGTGTAGAAAAAAATTGTATCCATCTGTGTAATCTGTAATCTGTAATTTTTTTTCTAAATGAAAATTCAGACAAAGAGTAACAGAATCAGCATAGGCCAGGCGCTGCGTATTAAATGCCAAAGAAATATTTAATTATTATTTGTTACCAAAATTTATTAAATTGTTTTGTCAAAATCTTTAATTAAACAAAGAATATACGTTAAATATACATATACATAGCCTAATAATATTGTTACGCAGCACCCTGCAGTAGCCTGCGGCTATTATAGGAAACGTACAAATAGAAAAAAGAAGTGGAATGTTACTCATCGCCCTACAGTGTACTGCGGTCGTCATAAGTAAAAGTACAGGTAAAAGAAGATATAATAGTCCAGACATGTCTGGAAATGTCATTACCCGCCAAGAATATTCTAGACGACAGTTCGAGAAGGTTCGAGAAGGGTCAACAAGCAAGCTAGATAAGGATGATCCTGACAACAGTTTTCAGTTTAATGATAGACGTTATACGTTAATGTTATCAGTTGTATAATTATTGTTAAAGTTGAGTTGAAATACATTGAGATACCAAAAACCTTCGTATCAATATTAATAGAATTATTTACTTTGGCAATCTGTATCTGTATCTGTTACGTGTGAAGGGTGGGTTACCTCCACGGCACTTAGGCCTCATTAGTCCATTGTGAATCCTCCTGAGATAATAGGCACCTACTAGATCGTGAGCCAGCCTACAGATTTAATGTAGTTGACAACGTCGCCAAGAGGTGCTTCTCTTATATCGGTCTTAGTCGATACTCGCCGAACACAAATCTTCTAATAAATGAGAGCGTCGAGCAATCGTAAAGGATATGCTCGATGGTCTCATCTTCTTGTTCGCACCCTCTGCAGAGTGCAGATTTTGACAGTCCCATGATATGGAGATGCTTTCGTACTTGGCAATGACCAGTCAGAATGCCTGTGACTAGGCGCAGATTCTGTCTAGTCATAGTCAAGTATTTGTTTGCTGCAGTGTTGTCAGGATAACTTAAAAGCTCCCTGGCAACTCTGCAGTTTCTTGTTTCATTCCATCTTTCCTTGAATTTCACAAAGGAATGTTCTTTGATTAGGTCTGTCACTACCGATTTTGTCCAATAGAAGGGCCAGGTCCAAAAAGTATTTGGTTAGCTGATTTCTTGGCTAGCGAATCAGCAAGACGGTTACCTTTCTATGTGGTGTGACCTTTGATTCACCTTAAGGTGACCACATTGTTGATGGATACTTCGGCCAAAGCTTCGTGAACTTCTAGTACTAACCCTAATTAAATTCGTGGTCTGTTCAGGGTAAGAAGTGCTTGTCTGCTATCTGTATAGATGAGCATGTTCCTTCCAGTGATATTGTTTTTGGTTATTTCTTTTGCTGCTATGAGAATCCCCGTTAGCTCTATTTGAACTAGACTGGCACTTTTATTTATGACTTCGTTATTTGTGTTGATTGGTGTTATTATAAACAGACATCCTTATTTCTTAAAAAAAATTCACCTCACCTCCATTCTTGTGAATTTCGTTGACGTTACATTCGTAAGTGTAAAATTTTGTAAGATTATAGCCTAATATTTGGAGGCGATGACAAACCAAAGTTATTCAAATAAATAAACAACAGACGGGTTACGGGTTCACTATTGTCAACACACCCACGAAGATAGTTGAAAACTAACATCCCACGAGGTTTGATTTGTATCGCTTTATCCATTTACGATAATTATTTTATATTTATTTATAAACTACATTTTTTGTACAAGTATTCTTGTCTGATATAGTTTGTTCATGTTTGTGACTTACAATATGGTATCGCGTTATTGCATATTCGAAGAGTTTCATTTATTGTGTAATACATTAGATACATTAATAGTTATTTATGTATCGAGGCCGTAAAACACTGTTTACGCCCGAAATACATACAAAATTTTATGCACGACCCTTTTAATGATAATTTATTAACACATATATAGGGTGTTCCATTAGTGCGTAATTGTTCAATATTTCAGTTTGTCTTATAGAGACACAAAAAAGTTTTAAATAAAAGTTATACGGATTTGAAAGATACATATTTTAAAAATATTTTCGGATATGCAGGGTGGCTGGCAAAAAAATTATGTTTTTTAAATAGAACATTCTGTATTTTACTCTATTTTTAAAATGGTTTGGTAATACTGTAGCCAACCCTAAAATATTTAAAAAATATTACAGTGATGCCGAGCAATAATTTTTTTTTAAATTAGAGAATATTGCACACTCCAAATTAAATTATTATAATTTAGGTAGGTTTACATTGATTTCCAAATTGTTTAATGTACAGACTTATAAGCTACTAAACTAACAAATAGTGATTATAGAACTGGTTTATTTTATACAGTGTTTTGAAACATTACTTAAACATAACTAAATTTAATTTCAATTTAATCAATTTTTTCAAATGCAATAAGTTGTAAAATTGAGTAGTAACTGCTACATACTTTCTTAGAAATGTGATCAGTACATGCATGAAAGGAGATAAATGAGTCAAGAATAGTGGCAAGGAATTTTGTTGTCTCAGAGGATGTCATAGTAAGATTTTCAGTATGTATTTTAAGTAATTTGAAATGAGAAATTTCATTAATACTGTTTTGCCATGGCTAAGACTTAAATGGTTGTCCAAACACCATTCCTTAAATCTATTATAAAGTTGATTTAATTTATCTGCTAGTTCTTTGGGAGAATTACCACAAGATCCGAAGGAAACATATATAACCTTACAATTTGGATCCATAAATTGTGGTAAGTGGTTAATAAACAATAAAAAATTAAGTGGCCCAAGTACAGAGCCCTGAGGAACTCACAGATTAACAACTGCTTCGTTTGATTGAGTTTGGTTTATTTTAACTATTTTTCTAGAACTTAGATTTAATTAGGACTATGGGCCATGTGGCCTCCCCCACCTCGACCTTTCTAGAACTTACATATCGCTGTCCCAATTCAAAATTGAACTATCTCTAAAATTTTAGGGTTTGAGATAAGAATGTATTCTTAGCAAGAAGGGCAAGATCTATAATAACGCTATAATATCTCAAAATATTTTTTTTTCTATTTATTTTAATAATAAATTACAAATTAGTAAATAAA